GGCGCAACAGGATAATAAATCTTTGAAGGACTTCCACATTTACGCTCCGTTTCCAAACAGTTCAAATGACAAATAAATGCATACTCTGAAAGCGCTCCACAAGACATGTGTTATTATATTACTGGATGCTCGAAATTGAACGTGAGAATGCACGTTTTAAACAGCTTATTGTACAGGTAAATTAATCGCCGTTCTAATCTAATGCGCTGCTGCACTGTAACGCACACACATAGGCTACAGACAGTAGCTCGTACATCACGCGCACAGAATCATTCAGTGCGGAAATGTATTGTCAACACTGTTCTGTGATTTCTCAATAAAATAGCTTAGAAACTGAAAAGTTCAAGCATATATTTCTTAATAACTAAATCCCACTGCTTCACTACTAGTAGAGAGACACTGCCAGGTAGAATTAATTCACACACGCAATCGCTCTCACTAATGCATTCATATGAATGTAATCTTTACTGTCTTTACTGCTACTTTATCTGTATCTGATTTAGAACAAGCAGAAATCTGAGAGAAATATAACGACCCAAAGACAAAATAACTGATAAAAATGAGCTGTTATAGGAGCAATAGCCATGTGGGCAGCGCTGTGACATATGACATAGCTTTGCACAAGGTGTTTGTCACAGCTCCAGACTTATTTGTTCATGAATGACGTCATCAGCGACTGGTCGACTTCAACTCGACTTTCATCACATACAAGTCGACTTTAAAAAAACAGAAGTCGTTCAACCCATATTGTGTACACACACTGCCAACACACATTTCAGTTCAAACAACTTGTAAAAGTGTATGTCGCAGCCAATGACTGTAACATTGATGTTACAGTGGAAAAACGATTTGTCAACTATTGCAGATTTAAAACAAAATTGCTGATTTACTACCGATTTGAACCTTTACAAACAGTTGTTTTAGATCAAAATAATACCCAAAGGGATACCCAAAATGAAATTTGTCATCATTTACTCACCCTCAAGTTGTCCCAAACTTGTATGAGTTTCTTTCTTCTGTCAAAAACAAGAAGAATGTTAGTAACCAAACATTTGACGGTAGCTATGGACTTCCATAGTATTTTGTCCATACTATGCAAGTCAATGGCTACCGTCAACTGTTTTTCTTCAAAATATATTCTTTTGTTCCCAATAGATGAAAGAAACTCAAACAGGTTTGGAACAACTTGAGGGTGAGTGGATGATGACAGAATGTTCGTTTTTGGATGAACTATCCCTTTAAATTCGAATAGGTTTTTGTGTATGACCAGCCTAAATGATCATATACAGGTGCATCTCAATAAATTAGAATGTCGTGGAAAAGTTCATTTATTTCAGTAATTCAACTCAAATTGTGAAACTTGTGTATTAAATAAATTCAATGCACACAGACTGAAGTAGTTTAAGTCTTTGGTTCTTTTAATTGTGATGATTTTGGCTCACATTTAACAAAAACCAATAAAATAAAACCAATAAAAAAAACATTTTTAGTGAATTGTTGGCCTTCTGGAAAGTATGTTCACGAGTTTCACAATTTGAGTTGAATTACTGAAATAAATGAAATTTTCCACGACATTCTAATTTATTGAGATGCACCTGTATATAAATTCACTGGTAATTTGATTTCAAGTGATTTCAGTATGGATATATTTGTTTAGTTTGGTACAATCCTGGTACTGTATTGGGTTGCCACTTGAATGCAAATCTATAATCTGTGTCCTGAAGCAAAACCAGTTGAGAACCACTTGCTCTATACCATTCCCATTATTTGAGAAAAAAAAGAGAAAAATATTGTTATGTGTACCATTTCTAGCATGGGAACGATGTCTTGCCTGTCTTATTCCCTGCTCTCAGCACCTTTTGCATGGTTCCATGTTGCAAACCTCAGTTTTGACAGATCTCATTTTCTCTCCCCTCAGCCTGCTCTCGATGATTGACTTGTAATTACTGAAGGGAGGTGCTGTATTTGGTGTGTAATGTGTTACTCTAATTTGTATGTCTCTGTTGACAGATTCCAGGACAACCAATGAGTTGTGATACGGACCAGCTCAGGGTAAGTGATGCTTCGGTGCTGCTTTGTGTGTGTCTGTGTTTTTGTGTGCTTTTTGTGTCGCTGTTGTGCTTCTGGATGTTGTTGGTATTGACCTTTTAATTAATCAATCCATGGCGATCATAAAACTGCGGTTCATTCATGTAAAGAAAAATTATTTCATCACAATGACTTTAGAATGAATTTTTGTGTATCCTTCATGTTCATTTCAGCATCTCCAGCTGAGAAGATGATGATATTAAATCAATAGGCAAAAAAAAAGAAGCCCTTCAATTTTACTCTCATACAGAAACCTGTTATTCCCTCATACTCTGCTGTGTCCATATTAAAAATACAACAAAGCTTACCTTGCCTTCTCATTAAACTTTAATAGTGGCTCTCAAACCCTTCTGCTCACTCACTGGCCTGAAAAGCCAGGGTAGCAAAGGTGTCAGCTTCACTCCTGATGAGGACCCTCCCAAAGATCTTCATCTTCTTCAGAAACACCACATCTGTGTGGAGGGATGACCATGTGTCCTGCCGGCTCTGCCTTGAGCTCACAGAGCACACAGTGTGTATGTGCA